CACTGTACTAGGCAATCTCAAACTCTGTTGCAGTTCTGACAGGCTGACTCTCGAGCTGCATGGGGAAGCTGAAGAAGGAAACACACTGTGTGGACAGAATCCTGGGCTACCACACCTGTAAAGGCAGGTCAAAGCCCCCAAAGCAAGCAGTGCAAGTTCCAGGCCATGTGGAAACACAGAATACACGTGTAGGTCCTAGGAAGGCTTCACTGATCTACTGGCAACAGTGTATAGTCATGACAGCAAAGGAGTCACAGCACCAGCCATTCTCAAACACGTATGGCCATTCTGAGGACTTCTTGGAACTCCCAGAATTCCTACAAAGACCTTGCTTTGGTGCACTTCAAAATTAGCCCATTCTTTGACATTTTGCAATAGAGTGATCTGGCAATCACAGTCTGCATTGCTGATTACCAGGCCTCAGCAGACAACTGTGGAGAGAGCAAGAAGCTATCTGTTCATGATCAAGGTTCTCAGAGCTTAGGATGCCTTCCCTTTCTATGCTCCATAGCACACTGCTGCTGGCTGTCCTTGTGAGCCAACCAGACAGAGAGCATTAACTGGGAAGAGCTGTGAGAAGTCTCATCTTCCTGCCAAACTTCCCATTAGCTCTCTTGCATCCTTCCCTGCCTCCCTTTCTCCCTTCTTCTCTGTCTCCTTTGTTTTCCTTTTCCTGGCCCCTTCTCCATGTCCTGATTTCTACAAACTTCCAGATCCTCTAAATGCTAATTCTTAAGTTGGAGACTGCTCTCAAGCAGACTCATTCCCTTATTAAGATTTAGGGCCTGAACCAGAAGGTGTTTCCTTGTTGGAAGACTATGACCTTTAAATCTTGCTGCAAGGTTAATGTCAAGACATTATTTGAAGATTCATTCCTAGAGCCAGCACAAATCAGGCATAATCCCATTGCTGTGCCTTGTTCAAGGGCCGCTTCCAGGGCCACAATTTTTCAAAACTGTATTTATGCCTAATACTGGTGGGAGGGAGGTTAGGGAGTGAGACAAAAGAGGGAGGGGGGCAATGAGATAAGGAGAAAAGTCTTAAGGGATCAAAGTCAGAGTGGAGACAGAAAGCAAGAGGACAGACAACATGCTGTTTTGATTTACTAGAAAATAAAATTAGCTGTATTGAAAGTAACACTATTTCTTAAAGCTTTGTTAAATTTTGGTAACAAAAATCTAAGCTGTTTTTTAATACAATAAAGCAGAAAAGGGCACAGCTGTCAATGGAGGAATGTTTAGGGTAGGATTTGCGCATGCTTGAGTGAAGAGAAGAGGACTGATCCAAGAAAAGGCACAGAATTTGGATTAGAACATTCAAATCCAAAACATAGGTACAAAAGGACTCTGGAATGAGCAATGATCTTTTAATTTATAGAGTCCAAAATCACTGAGACAATTGGAAAAGCGGCCTCAGACTTCCAAGCTAATTTTGCCTGCTGTTACTCAGGAGGGAAGGGATGAGAGGTGCCTCTTGGTTCATCTCTCTCATCCTATTGGCCTTTTATCCTACACTGGCAATCACTCCTTGCTAAGAGAGAAAGCCAAAGCAAAATAATGAGATTTTGTTAATGTGAGCTGAGGGTTCTTTCCTTTTCTTTGTATTGTAAGAGTGGCAGATTCCAAGTCTCCCAGATCTCTAAGCCCTGTTTTTTTCTGTTACTGGTGGGAGTTGATGCCAGACAGCCACAAATAGATAGGGTCTTGATGACCTCAGATTCCCACCCCTACCCTAATGTTTATTGTCACAGGAACACTGGCTGCTCATCTAGTAAAGATTTCATTCTAGCTTTATTGGGACTGGCGAATGTTCTTCATTTGAGATGCAGTTACAGAGATCTATCACAAGAGCCAACTTTTTACTAACTAACAAGCATCTATCAAGGCCAGAATAATCACTAGGTAAAAGAAATGTACCTTTAGGAGCTAAAGGTTCACACAAACATTCCTAGGTATTAGTGCCAGATGGTGAGGTTTTGAATTTGAGACAGAAACTGACTTCCCTCATTTAAATTCGACTGATATGAACTTGCTCTTGGATCCAAATCAAACGACATTCTATGTCAGGCCTTAACTATGCATGACATGTGGACAATATAAAGCAACTGGAACGTTTGTGACACTCATGCCCCATAGTGACCCCATCCTACCTGGACTGTTGCCATCCATGCCAGACACTACACGTCATGCACTAGTTTGGTTAGACTTATAGAACAAAGATGGCAACTGCCTGGTATGCGTTTATTGTTCTTCCGCAAATCCATAATAGACCTGCAATCTAAATGCAGCCCCTTTTCCTGATGAGTTCACATAGGCGCTCAGAATCCTGCTATCTGCACATTAGAATTACTATTTGAGCTACAACCTACCCGCCTTCCTTTTTCTAAGACCCTCAAGATCCTCTGGAGCCTTTTCCCGTCACAGTTAATTAGTGAATGTTCATAACGATGGTCTGACTTCTATGATCTTATCTCTTATGAATCCATATCAATGATTTACCAATGCTGAGGAATTTAAGGCAATTATGAAAGAAGGATAGTTATATGAAATATCAAAAAGGTATCTGCAGAGGGGTCTGTTGAAACTTTGAGTAGGCTTCAGCTCAAGTGTGTTCCCAAATCTACATCAGTGATTTCTGAGGCAATTTTAACTCCATTAGTATTGGGGATTGGTAATGTCTGAAGACAATTTGCTTGGTTACATCTGGGGGGTAATATCGTCTTCAGAGATGTCACTAAATATTCTTTGGTTGCACATAACAAATGCTAACAACAAAGAATTATGTGATCCAAAATGCCAATGATACCAAAGATGAGAAACCCTGATATAGATTAAGGCTGAGCATTTAGTGGGAGAAAGAATGTTGGAGTGCCTCTAATCCAACCCTTTCATGTTATAAATAACCAAAGATCCAGGCAAAGATCTGTATGGACAGCTCAGCAGGATTAGCAAATAACCTTACACGTCCTTGTAATGGGACACTAAAAGCTGCTTTGTATGAGGAGGACAGCAGGCTGTAGGTTCCTAACAGTTTATTAGTGGAGGTAAATAGAGATTAGTGCTACAAATGTTGAGATCTTTGGATCTCGGCATAAATTGTTTGTTTCAGGTTGTAGGGGATAGTATTGCCATTTTTATATATGTAAATATCACAAACCATTCATTCATTAAAATTGTTATCAACAAATATTTTTGGTTTCTTTATTGTGCTGATGCAAGTAACACATTGATCAATAAAGATCACCCTGTTCCTCAGCAGCTTCTGTCTGCTAGGAGAGATGGACAACAGCATTTCAATACAGAGCAATCAATGCTAAAGGGGATAGTCTATGGGAGTGTAGAGGAAAGGCATACAACCCAGGCTTGGTAACCAAGGAAAGGTTTGTCAGAGGAGGTGATGTCTGAGCCAAGCTCTGATAGAAGAATAGGTATTTGAAGCCCTAATTGAACTTCCTAGTACAGCGCGCTCAGCTTGCTAAGCCTGGCCAGCATGTTGAAAATCTGGCTACACACGCTAAACCTGAATCAATCCATGCTTGTACCACCTACTGTTTTTGTCTGGGCCAAGGCACCATGATCCTTGCCAATATCATGCGACCACTTGCAGGTTTTTATACATTGGAAGTGCATTTCATATGCAGATCTTCAACCATAAGCTTAAGGACTAAGGAATGCGTGTGCGTAGAAGAAGGCTTTACTCAGCTATCTGAGGTCCCTTCCTGTGAAACACCAAGTCTACACCACAGAGGCTGGGTTGGGAGGATTCAAGAGAAAGCTACAGCTGGCCTACCAAGCTATTCTCATCTCCTTTATATGTGCAATTCAGCACTCCTTCGTGTGGCTACATCCAACACCAGGCATTAAAATGGAGAGCAATACAGTGAGCAGGCAAACAATGAGAACCAAGGTGTTAAGCTGAAATAAGTTCGATGTTAAAAAATGAATGGTCACTCCCTAGATCCCTCAGGTAACATTTTTCCATCCCTCCCTATCTCAAGAGAGCCATAACCCCTCACTCTTCACTCCTTCTGACCTGCTCTCACTATCTTCTCTCTACCTGCAGGTCATAAAACTGTGGATAGACTTGGGTATCATATCAAGTTCCAATAAACTAAATTAATTCAAGCTTCACTTTTTTCTCTAGTCTATAAAGGGAAACATCAAGTGAATTCCCTCTTTCTCTGTGCTTATGGTTGACAGATATGTATGATTGGGGGTAGAGAATATTTATTTATTTATTTATTTATTTGTAAGTTTTATTAAAGTTCACCCATTACCTACAGGCCTGAGGCTCCCTATAGAGAAACAAATATCTCAATGAAGGAGCTGGTTTCCAAGGTGCCAAATTAAAACAGATAAAGAGGTAGAGGAGAAAAAATAAAAATATGAAGCTAAGACTTCTTCAGTCTAAGGTGCATCAAGCCTTCTATTATATTGCATACCTGAAATTGGCTCCCAATGTAATTAGGCTAGGACTACTAGGGGGAAAAAACTCACAATTATTCAGAACCCCAGAGCTACTTTTTACAATCACTCAAATAACTGAAAAAAGAGACAACTTTTTAATATAAATTTGCTATCAACACCAACATTGCTAAGCAATTCCCAACATTCTACATGCCCAAGTCATGAACCAAATTGAGAACCAAATGCAAGAATCAGCTACCCTGAACAAGCTCTTAGGAACCAGGAGTTTATTCCAACAATCCTTGCGGGCCATTGACCTTGTGGGCCGTTAGAAGGAGCTGGAGAGTTCCAGGGCCACAGTAAACAACATATACCTTTCAGAGTCATTTGTCTTTATATATGGATATGCCCATATGGGGAAATGTTACTTTCTCTTGGGATCCATGTACATGGAACAGCCATAATATTCTCCATCCCAAAGACCAAGATATGACTCTACTTCCTTACAGGTCAGAAAGGAGCCATGGGGGCAAAGGAGAGCCTTCACTAAAATAAGAAGGGAAAGAAATAAACACTCTTAAAAGAGATGCTTACTGGATTTCAGCAATGCTGCCAAAACTTCAGTGGCTGCCCTGGGAAAAGAGAAAGACAAGTGAAAAGTCAATGTTCAACAGTCTTTTTTTGTCAGCCTATGGATCCCGTAGCCAGTGTATTTGTTAGTGCCAGCTAACTGGCTCATTATTTACCAGGTACCAGGCATCCTACTGACCACTAAAGAGGCATAAATACAGAAGTCACAGAGTGAAGTACACATCTTGCAAATGGGTCTCTGAAGCCCCCTCAACTGCTAAAATTCTTCTCCCTTCGTCCTCCTTGTACCACCTTCTACCTTCACCAACTTCCTTGTACAGCATGCCTTGGCTTTTCTGTTCCTCACACCAAAGTTCTTGTCAGCCTCCTGATTCATACCTAGAAGCACATGGGAACTCTGGAGAATGGTTGGGAAGGAGTAGAGTTTGGAGGCTTTGTGAGTGCAGCAGTACAGTGCAAACTTCCCAAAACACTCATACCCACATTGGAAAGGGAGGCTGTTTCCTTAGGATGAAAAATGGTTTTACGGCAGATTTTCCTCCAAGTGCATTGCTGTCTCCCATGGGGGAATCTCACAACCTTTGCAGCAAAAAAAGAGGAAAATGTGGATGAAAAAATCTTTTTGTCCACTTCTTAGTGAACCTTGAGTTTGTTCCCTAATTTTAGGAAGGACACATGAAGACCTGCTGCTATGATTTGAATGTGTCCTCTAAGAGCTTTCATACTGAGAACTTAATTCCCAAACTCATATGTTAATGGAATTTTGAGATAGGGCATTGGAGAAGTAATTAATATTACATGAGTTATGAAGGTGAGGCCCCGATGATGGCACTGGTGGATTCCTATAAAGAGGGAGAGAGCCCCGAGCTAGCATGCTTGCTCTCTCTCAATATGGATGTCCTCTTCCATGTTTTGCAGCAAGAAGGTCCTCACCTAATGCTCCAAAGATGCTGGAACCAAGCACTTAGACTTTCCAGACTCCAGAATCATGAACTAAATAAACCTCTATTCCTTAGAAATGTCTCAGTCTTGGGTATTTTTGCTATAGCAACAGAAAATGAACTTCTAATAGACCTACCAGGAAGGCAGAGGAAAACTTAACTGGCTTTGAGGACAACAGTATATACAATTCTAGGAAAAAGAACATATTTTGCTTTTTTGCTTTTTTAAAAAACAGATATATTCTGTCTACATGGCCCTAGTAACTTACCTTTAAGGCCTATAAAAACAGTGATCTTTTTCCCACCACCTCTGAGGATTGGGAAAGCAGACCAAAAGAACTAGATAAACCTTCCAAGGTCACACAGACACGTGAGTAGAGCTGGGACCCCAAACCCAAGCATCTCATAACCACCTCTGCTTCTTCCCCCTTGCTGTTCTGAATAATCCCTCACTGGTCCTGACCTTGCTCTGCCTGGCCAACAAAAGATGGGTCCCTTTGCAAAATATATTATCTAATACTGAACAACAGAGTTAGCAGTCCAAATAATTGAAAGAATGAATAAGGTAGAAAAGTAAAAAATGCAACACTTGAGACACCACTGCATCCTGTCACCAACAAAAGAGTCCCATAACAGCAAAGGCCCATAACTCACTGGCCCCAGTACAAACCCATAGCTGGGACAAATCCCAGCTCAGGGACACCAACACGGGGCAGTCATAAGGAGGTTAGGGCCAGCTCTCATTGAGGGACTAACTTGTTGGTCATTTGGGTTTTTTTGGTTTTTTGGTTTTTGTCTTTTTCTTTTTTTGGTGCTAGGATCAAACCCAGGGCCTCGTGCATGCTAGGCAAGTGCTGTACCACCGAGCTACATCCCAGCCCTTGTTGGTCATTTGTAACCAAGTTTTCCTCTAATCAACTTTTGAGTTCTGCAGCCCCACTGTTACAAGCTCATAGAGATGTAGAAACAGTGGGTTGTACCTTCCTTAAGAAGGAACTTATTGAAAGTATTGCTTGGAATGCAAGACAGTATGGAAAAATCCAAGTACCGAAATACATAGCTTAGGCTGGGACAAAAAGAAAATCAGAGGCTAAGTGATAGAGTACTTGCCTAGCATGTACAAGGCACTGCGTTCCATCCCCACAACCATAAGAAAAGAAAAAGTTGATATTTTAGGGAAAAACAGAGCAGCCAAGTTAAATTTACCAAAAGAGGTTAGCAGAAAAGAAGGAAACTGTGAAAAAAATGCAAGAATGAGAGTATTCCAAGCACAGTACCTAGCCTAGACCTGGATCACTGGCCAAGTTTATAAGGGTCAGTGACCTGACATTTCTGATCTGCAATGCACTTTCATCTTAGGAATGAGAGGTGATAAGGGCTCCAACCTAGAGAGTGGGTAGGATGAGAGGGGATGAGCTAAAGGAAATTCAGAGACTTCTGCTCAAAGTGTGGATCTCTAACCAGCCACCTCGTATTTCCTGAGAGACAAAAAGAAATGCAAAAGTTCAAGCCCCTTCCTGGAAGGCTGAATAAAGTCTTTATTCTATTAGATCATTTCCATGCATGGTAAAACTGGGAACAATTGATTTAGAGGATGAGGCTTAGTCACACTTTGGTTGTTGAAGGGATACTCAAGATGACTCTAGATATTAATTCTAGAAAGTGTCAAATAACATGACAATATAACAAATGTGATCTAAACAGTGATATTATAAGACATGGTTGGTGGTCACATCAAATAATCAAGGCTGATTCCTGGAAAAATTTGATTTCTTGAGA